GCAGTGCAAATTCCATACCACCCAGGTAAGATATTCATTAACAATTAATCTTAAATGAAGGATAAACAGCTTCTTGGAAGGCACCTCCCCCCCCCCATGGCAGTGATTTCCGCCATTTGCATCATGCCCGCCGTGGACGTCATATTTCATTCAATTTACATCGACGATGAATGAATGGACCTTCTAGAGAAAACTAAGGGTAGGGTCGTTGTTAAACCAGCGCTGCACTGGTTGTATGCTACCCGTACGACTAATCCCATACGTTCAAGGAAATCAAACACTAGCAACTAGAAGTCTACAAAGGAGCGGCATTCGGTTATCCCCAAGCAGCAGCCGAAGAAACTGGCTACGGAAGCGAACTGGAGGCCGCTATCAAAGGGCTGAAAGGAATGCACCGTAGGGGCATCACCATTCTGCCGCGAGGGTATTACAATCTTCTCTCATACCCCCCGTTCCCCATTACCGCCTATCCGCTCCACGCTTTACTAACGCTCATAACCTAGAGACTGTGGCTGTGCCTGGACCACTCACGGCACATACGCAAGCGACCTCGCGCACTTTGCCAAGCACCTGGACTTCATGCCTATGGAATACATTCTCGCTGCGACGGCTGAAGCAGGCAAGCTCTTCATGTGAGAGCGCTAACTCGGCAAGATCCAGCCAGGCGATTACGCAGACTGCATTCTCGTCAATGGGAATCTTCTGGGGAATATCTCCATTTTGCAGGACCACTAGAGGCTGGACATCGTTGTGGTTAATGGAAGGGTGCACAAGAGTAGCCAGCTTCAGATTTATCGTAATATACCGCTTGCTGGAGAGGGTGAAGGGGAGACTCACGTTGTCCCCGAGTTCATGTTCTTGACGATTAAAAAGCAGATCCAGGTTGATTCTATTGAAAGATAGCACGAAATATAAGAAATGGATCGATGAAGCGGACTGAATACTAGCAAAATTGGTGACTTGATTGTTCCTTGTGTTCCTCACTGACTCCAACAGCCAACATAACCAGCACACGGCGTCCTTTAAATACAGGAGTTCCGGTAACTCTGTCATCTGCCCATGATGACACCTATGCTATCTCACAATGCTAACCGATAGGTCCACGCTGTCTTCATTTCCCAATGATGAGAAGTGTACTGTCCATTCTTACAATATAACAGTCACCACTCAGCATATGTAGAAGGTCATTCCACCAATAAAAGAAACCCACAATCTGTCATCTCCGATCACAACAATAGCACCATAAACACATATCTAAAACGGTAACCAGAATACGCATCGGTGATAAAACAACAATTGCTATTACTGATGTGTTCTGACTTAATCCAATGGATTGGCTTTTTGTGGTTGTTGACTCCCTGTTCCTGATTGATCAATCAGACCCAAAGCTAAACAGTGATTCTGAAATGAGGTCGGCGGAAGCGCTTTCATGAAAATGTCAGCGGGCATTTCTTCCGTTGGACAATGGGTTAGGTCAATCTTGCCTGTTTCAAATATGTTGACGACTGACGTGATACTAGGTATCGCTGTCTTTTGTTCTGGCCTCCAATACCGGGTTTTTTGCTAACACAATACTTTCCTGGTTGTTTTCACATATATCTCTGAGTTCCATAATGTGCTTCCTGTTACCTATGTCTGGTGCTAGTCCTTGAAGCCAGATGGACTGCATAATACCCTGAGCGAAGGCCATATACCCTGCTTCGGTGGAGGACAATGTGATGGTTGCTTACTTGCGGCTGTTACAGGTGACTGCCACTCGATTCCGAAGAAAGGCGTACCCTCCGATCGATTTTGGATGCTCCTCAGAACCCCAATCTGCATCCAAACATTGTAATCGCTTTCTAACTTCCACAGGATCAATTCCTTGATTTTGAGCTCCTGCAAGATATCTGAAGATCCTTTTTACTGTAGTCTATTGGGTCGTATTTGGATTTGTTGCATATTGGCTAACCTTACCAACTGTATAGGTGATGTCTGACTGCAAGCCTAGCATCACATACATGAGTGATCTAACCGCTGACTGGTATTCCTTGATCTCAGCTGTCATAGTAGTTACTGCTTCACCCCTCAAACTCAACTGTACATAGTGGTCAGCGGGAGTCGCTATTAAATTGCTGTTGCTGATTCTATAGGCTGCAATAGTCTTATAGATATACGAGCTGTGAACGAGGTGTATGGTCCTGGTTTCCCCATGCCTGGTAGCTTTCAGACCAAAATAGCACCTGAGCGGGCCTAGGTTTATCATCTCAAAGTTGATTTCTAGAATTGTACCAATCGACACTAGCATAACATGCCCTGAGGGGTTGCTTTAACCGATATATAGCTTTGAGTAAACGAAATGCTAGTAGTGCCACCATGGGTTGTCAAAAGTCACAGTCTGTTATATGAATACACTCCAGTATGTCTATTTGAACTGATTCCCTAAGCTCAGTATTCAGGAGCACTGTCTTGACATATATTCCTTCTATCTGCTAGTGAATCTCACAACATAATGCAAGGAGGACTCTTATTGTAACCGGTACAGGTACTCGGTTATGGGTTTCATTTTATGTTTTGTTTTAAGTATCGCTTTGATACTGGGTTTGTTGAAGTATCATTTGATACTGGGTTTTGTTTTATGTTTTGTTTTAAGTATCGCTTTAAGACTTAGTTTGTTTTAAGTATCGTTTGATACTTGGTTTGGTTTTATGTTTTGTTTTAAGTATCGGTTGATACTTGGTTTTGTTTTTATGTTTTGTTTTATGTATCGCTTAATACTAAATGTGTTTTACCAAAGTGTATCAATTGATACCTTTGATTAGTTAGGTGCATGCTAGATATGAGCAGATTTGTGTATTTAAAGACTGTAAGATTCCACGATGGAAAAGGCAGAATTCGGCAGACTGTATTTCAATAGACTTGGTTGAACAGTTACTTCTTTGTTCCTCAGTACACCTTCGAAATTTCGGTTAGCTTTCAGCTCTCACCTCCTCTCTGGTAGAGCAGGCCACCTGCCAACTATTGTATTTTTACTGATAATGTGACTAGTGTAACCGGTATGGGTACTCGGTTATTGGTTTTGTTTTATGTTTTGTTTTAAGTATTGCTTTGATACTTGGTTTGTTTAAAGTATGGTTTGATGCTTGGTTTTGTATTATATTTTACTTTAAGTATCGCTTTGATACTTGGTTTGTTTTATGTTTTGTTTTAAGTATCACTTTGATACTAATTGGTTTTACCAAGGGGTATCAATTGATACCTTTGATTAATTTCGTTCATGCTAGATATGAACAGAATTTTGTTTTTCAAGACCACCTATTGCTATGATAGAAAAGGCAGACTTCGACAGAGAGTATTTCAATATAGTTGGTTGAACGCTTACTTCTTTGTTCTGCAGTACACCGTCGAAGCCTCCTTGAGTTCTCAGCTCTCGCCGCAACTCCTGAAGAGCAAGCCACCTGCCAACTAGCGTATCTATTACAGATAACGTGATTAGCAGCTTGCGAACATGTTAAATTCTTTTAACCTCAGTAAGTGGTTAAGAACCTGTCCCCGGATTTATGCCTGATCAACCTATCAATATCCACCTTAGAATGCTACTCGAGAGAAGCGGCAGAATCACGGCATCTTTGGCTTTGTCTCAAATCCAAGATCGAGTATTTGACAACCAGGAGTGGGAAGCAAATCCCACGACAAGACTATACAAGAAAGAAACAAACCCGGCCCTCTGCTAAGGAGCTGGGCGAACCTGCAAATATGTAAGACATACAACCTCCTAGAAAATTCCGTGCTACTGCAGTAAAGAAGCCTTCCTTTGAATCTACAATCGACCCCGAATCCAGTAGCGAATCAGACATGGCTAGCACCGGAGGAAGGCCCTCTGGAGGAGGAACATCTGGCACGAGGCCGAAAGAAGAGGAGGTACCCACAGCATTTGAACCTCCTAAGTTTAAACTCCAGCTCCCAGTAAGTTTTACTGGAGAAGGAAAGAACCTCGAACCGGAAGAATTGAACCTATGGGCAACTCAACTTATACACTATCTGCTCCTGCAAGGGAAATATGTGGAAGACTATACAAGCGGACTATAGAGTGGATCATTCCGTGAAGGAAAGGCAACTGACGTATACAACCAATGCTATAAGGATTACGGCGGAAATCTAAGATGAAGAGGATCTACAGTCCGCAATTACCTGAAAGGCTGATTCCAATCCTCTATCACCAATGACCTCCTATACAACACATTCAACCAGCTCCAGCAAGTTAATGGAATACATGTCAAGAGGATTAAAGATGTAGTTACAGATCTATTGATGTATAAGGACCGAATAAAGAAAGGAAGCATTTCCAAATACATTCTTAAGCGACTCCTCTATGATACTATGCATCCTACCCTCCAATGAGAAGCAGAACTACGTGAGGAAGACGACGATAATATTCCAATAATAATTGCAAGAGCAGAACAGAAGGACGCCATTCTTCCTGTAACCAAGGCATACAAGACACAGACATCCTCAAGCAAGAATAGCCAACCTCAACACAAGCCCTCCAGCAACTCTGAAGACGATAGCCCATAGGTTTTCAAGAAGAAAACCAAACCCTCCCAAGAATCGAGATGGCAGAATGGAGAATGTTTCGAATGTGGAAAAACAGGACACATGGAAAGGAACTGCCCTATGACGAAAGGGAAAGAAAAGGCGATTAAGCAAGAAGCGTCAGGCAACAATGTTGAGAGCGATAGTGATAATACCGAATCCAGCGAATATGAGGATATCCATATCAGATATATCGATGTAGAGTGCAATAGTGTCTGACCTCCGGCTACATTTAAAGTACATACTACCATGGAAGGTACTATTCTCATAAATGACAAGAAGGCTCAAGTCCTATTCGATAGTGGTGCCATCGGAAGAGACATGATCAGCAACGCCTTTGCCTCTGTCCATGGACTCCCAACTCGAGACCTTAACCAACCCATCCCAGTCAATCTGGCAGTAAAAGGATTACGATCCACAAGCTAAAAAACCAGCAGTGCCAGTATTTTACTTGCTTCCGCTATCCTACACCCCCAGGAAATACTAGTTGGAAACTTAGCCAAATATGATGCCTTGATAGGAATTCTATTCTGGAAACGCCAAAAAGCTGTAATCAGGTGTGAGGACTCAACCATCGATTTCCCAGATCAGAAGGTCAGAGTTTCTTGCAAGCCGACAAGCGCAGAGTACCGAGCTGCAGTTTGTGAAGCAATGGCCCAATGTGTAACCGGCACGGGTACTTGGTTAGTTTTAAGTATCGTTTGATCCTTGGTTAGTTTTAAGTATCGTTTGATACTTGGTTTTGTTTTATGTTTTGTTTTAAGTGTCGCTTTAATACTTGGTTAGTTTTAAGTATCGTTTGATACTTGGTTTTGTTTTATGTTTTGTTTTAAGTATCACTTTAATACTTGGTTAGTTTCAAGTATCATTTGATACTTGGTTTGGTTTTATGTTTTGTTTTAAGTATCGCTTTGATACTTAAGGAGTTTTACCAAAGTGTATCGATTGATACCTTTGAGTAGTTTTGTTCATGTTAAGACATGAACAGATTTGTGTATTTAAAGACCGCCTGTTTCTACGATAGAAAGGGAGACTTCGACAGACAGTATATCAATATACTTGGTTGAACAGTTACTTCTTTGTTCCTCAGTACACCCTCGAAGCCTTCTTTAGTTCTCAGCTCTCGCCTCCTCTCAGGAAGACCAGGCCACCTGCCAACTATCGTACCTATTACCGTTAACGTGATTAGCACCTTGCGAACATGTTACACAATGCCTATTGGTTGAATACTCTGATGTTTTCCCTAATCAGATTCCCGAAGAACTACCGCCTATGAGAGAGGTGAACCAT